CTTTGATGGGAAGAGGGGGAAAGTAGTTTGAACATGGCTTGGAGTGTGCCTTAAAAAACGTTTCAGAACAATCCTTCAATTAAGGAGGCAGAGATAAAGGTTCAGGGGAGCCGGGTGAGTAATTAAAATAGCTACTAAAGTTTTTAGTATCATGGTTAGAATGATACTGTACGGTCTCTTCCTTCCTGTTTAAAATATGCAAGATGCCGGTAATGAACTATGCATGAATTTGCCAATTACACGTGCCTAAATAATAAATATTGTCCCGTCGCATAGGGAAAGCGCCTTGATGTAGCTCCCCGAGACTTCCTAGTCGGTAATAAAAATCAACAAGTGCAGCTGGATGCATGCGTTCTGAAGACGACAGCTCAAATGGGCCTGAGCACAGCCCTCTTCTTTTGAGCGGCGCTCTCCTTTGGTACACCTCCCGCGTTAGCCATCACAACATATAGTCGGTACTACAAGAAAGCACCCACGAGCCAACCGCGCCTGTCGACAGATAGCATGAGACTGAGGAACCATACCTGGTCTCCTTGGCAGCTTCAATTTCCTCTGGAGTTACGTTCGGTCTGACAACCAGATTCGGGGCCGGATACACCTGTTCGCCATCAATTTCTTCCAGGAATGGGCAGTGGAACTCTGGTCTACAGCAGATATGTTACAAGGATAAAGGGACGAGCCACTGTCCCGTATGTCAGGAGAACCGTAGTATCATTTTCGACACCTAAACACGGATTTTGTATGAAAGTTTAGACGCGAATCTTTTACAGATAGTTCATGGCAGTGTCGCTTCAGTTGTTAATAGCTTGTTTGTGGAACACGGGAATAAGGTTAAACCAAATGCAGACATCAGTCTAAATCCTTTCGTTATGAAGGATTTAGGGACTCGCCAATGTAAATGCGCCTCCTTCAGTTCATGTCCCTTCTCGCCTCTATCTTCATCTATGCACCTCGATAGACAGAGTCAGACCTCCTTCTACGTATGCATAGCTCATAATTGCCAGTGCATAAAGCCAAAATGCGTTTATTAATCTTGAATTTCTCCACAAAAATGTAGAATTCCTTTGCAGTCTTGCCTGCTGGTTGGATTGTAAACTTCTTATTTGTAAAAAGAGAGGTTTCGAATTTCCGGCCAATAGAGCCCGATTTCGGGGTCCAACAGATTATCAGGCTCATAGATACTCAGACCCAGACCATCAACACCAAGAACAAGCAACATACATCTCCTGATTCTGTGCGATTTTTAGGTACTGAACCATTGCATCACCCAATCCAAGCCTTGCATGTCGGCTTGTTCGTATTGTTCTTTTCCGGAAATCAGTCGATGAACTGGCAAAGTTTAGCAACACAAACGTAGGATGCCAGTAAGACAGCGGCGTCTGTTGAAAAATAGTTTCTCGGATACCATGTCGCTTTTAACAAGCGACCAAGGAAGAACAAGCCGCAGAGAGACCTAACATCGGCTAAAAGTCGTTATAAAGAAAATGTCGGGTTCGCGTGCCGCTGCCGGTATAAGAAGGCAGTAAGTGCAGTTGGATACATGTATTCCGAAGATGACAGAGCAAATGGGTCTGAGCGCGACCCGAAGGCCAGCCCACGTGTACAGAGCCCAGACAAGTCCTAAAGTGACCGCCAAACGTCAGATAGTCGCATAAACAAAGCATTACACTACCTCTCTCTTCTTTTGAGCGACGCCCTCGGCGCTCCCCTTTGGTACACCTCCTGCTCCAGCCATCACAACATATTCGGTGCTACAAGAAAGCATCCACTAGCCAACCGCGCCATTCGACAGACAATGCGAGAGCGAGAAACCGTATTTGATCTTCTCGGCAGCTTCAACTGGGTCTGGAGTTTCGTTCGATCTGACAACCAGATTCGGGGACCCCTGCATCTGTCGACCATCAATTGCTTCCAGAAATACACGGTGTAACTCTGGTCTACAACAGATATGTTACAGGGATAAGGGGACGGGCCACTGTTCCCACACGAAACTTTTCCAGATATTTCCCGGCGGTGTCGCTTCAGTTGTTAATAGCTTGTTTGTGGAACACGGGAATAAGGTGAAACCAAATGCAGACGTTAGTCTCAGCCCTTTCGTTGTGAAGGGTCCAGGGATCCTCCGTCATCAAGGTAAATGCGCCCCCTTCAGTTCACGTCCCGTTTTCGCCTGTACCTTTATCTACTGCACTTCGATAGATAGAGTCAGACTTCCTTCTACGCATGTATAGCTCGTGATTGCCAGAATGCGCTTCTTAATCTTGGATTTCTCCCCTAAGAAGCAGTATTCGTTTGCAGTCTTGTTTGCTGGTTAGATTATAACCTTCATGTCGTGAAAATAGCGATTTCGACTTTCCGGCCGAGGGAACCCGATTTTA